AAAGGTAAGCAGAGTGGGAATGTTCCGAAGGTGGAACAACTGGAAGCTGCTGATGGATGAGATGTATCGGGGCAAGGGAAGAAAGAGGCACTGAGAAGAGCTTCTAGTTCTGTGTGACTTGGGTGTGGAGTGAGTGACTCTGAGACAGTAACAATCCTGACTAAGCCAGATGTCATGTCCAGGGGGCAGCCACACGGTCCTGCAAACAGATGTCAAGGAGATCCAAAAATTATTGGCAAGGAGACATGACCTAACGGCTGCAGTTGGGAAAGTCTTGGGCATTGCTGTTGGCAATGGTAGAAATCACGCCCTGGGGGGGCCGGCCCGGTGGTGCACTGGATAGTGCGCTGCTTGGGAAGCGCGGCAGCACTCCCGCCCGAGGGTAGCTGCAGTTGGGAAAGTCTTGGGCATTGCTGTTGGCAATGGTAGAAATCACGCCCTGGGAGGTTCCCTGCAGCTGCTGACATGCAGGTAGGATTTCTGAGAGCACATGACATCCACAGTTTCCCTTTGGTGAGACTTTGAGCTCAGGAAGGAGGGCGAATGACTATGCTATCGTCAGTTGCCTCCCGAAAGACAAACTCACAGGGACAAAGAGAACGGAGAGAAGATGAGAGCACCACATACTGAGTGCTGGAAAGCAGATGGATGCTGACAGCCAATGTATAGGACCCCAAAATCAAACTTATGCATGTGGTAGGAAACACTGAGACACCTGACTCACACCACAGAACCCACACAGAGCTCAGGAACTGTGATAGCATCAGGGGCCCCAGGAGCAGGGTGAATGTGGGGTTATAAACAGCAGAACTGGATGAAAATCTACTTAAAGAGAGTTAGACCCATTGGATCCCTCTCCACCCCACCAGCCAGTGGCTCCTGATCACTGATCGGCAGAAGATCGGATGTTTGTTCTCTGGAGAAGGTGAAGAAGTCGAGACACCGGGCCTGGTGAGGGCAGGGGAACTTACGGAAAACAGAAAAACAGTTCACAGTTACTTTCTGAGTGCTGAGACCCCAGCCTCCTTCCCTGCCCGATGTCCAGGGTGCTGCCAGAGAGGCCACCTCCATAGACAGGAGGTTGAAAGAGTTTTCTCTGGGAGACTTGACAAGCCTAGGGGCAAAGAGCAAAAGGTGCTGCTATCAAATGGTTTCCCGGTGAGTCGGCCCATTGGACCACCCAGTGGAGAAGTCCACTGGCACTGCTGGCACGCAGCCATCCAAGGATCATCAGACAGTGGAGGGAGGCCTGGAATAGGAGGCAGGGGGGCACC